GACAAACTGATTTTCATGTATGTTGGGAAAAAACTCTATCTCCCGAACCACAAAGGCAAAATTGATGAAACAAAAATGAGGTGATTGCTAAAACCTTGTAGTTTGTGTTTCTTTCTTTAAATTGCTTCATATTTGTCTTTAAATTGACGAGAAAAAAACAATCTGTTTATCACCCTGTGCAGCTTACAGTTCTCTAACAGTGCTTGGGCCCTATCGCTGAAGTACACATTGACTCTCAGCTGAGTGTTGTGCGCTAACCGGCACAAAGTCATGGGAAATTTCCTAACGGGGAAATTAGGACTGAGTTATGGGGACTTTAATTCTCCTCCTCGTATAGTGTCTTCAGTTCCCATAATAGCTATCGCTCAACAGATGTGTGGTCCCCACAGTTACGAACAAGATTGCCGTATGTGTGGAGTGTTCAGTGTGGGGTTGATGTGCAGAGGGGAACGTTACAATCAATGCTAGTACTTTTATTACAACTTTTATAAGGTACAGCTAGGCAGGCGCGTATCCATTGGGGGAAGGGGGGTTGAGGGTAAAAACTCCCCCCCCCCCCCACACACCAAAAAAAACAAAAACAACTTGACTAATAATATTTACCTATATGTCCGGCGTTTGTCCGCCTGTCCGCAACACTCGAACACAGAGGCATAGCCAGCGGGGGTAAGGGGGGTATTTGTACACTATTGTGTGATATAGTGTGCCTGCTTGTCTGAATTGAACAGCGCCCCCATTGGAAAAATGGTACCAGCCCCCCCGGAGTGTCCGGAGGAAAAAACCTGTCTACATTTCAGCACTGATTTACTGATGTAAAAAAAATCTGAACCCTCCCCCTGCAAAAATTCCTGGATCCGCCCCTAACAGGTCTGTATTTTTATGCCCCGCCAGTGAACACTGGTAAACACAATTCAGCCTTTGTAAAACGGTACCCCAGAAGAGAAATGCTAAACTACTTTTCTTGTTTATACATGAGTTTGCAAATGATTCAAACACAGCTACCGGTTTTCATCCCTGCTTGTTCCTCCATGGTTAAAATTATATTGAATATCTGATTTTTGTGCAGGTTTGAGCTGTGCTTTCCAGTGAACCAAAATGCTCCCCAGCTGCAAAACAGGGCTTCTCATCTTAACCTCACCGATAAACCAACTCATCAAACAAATCAGACCAATACTGTGCCATGCCGCCAGCCGCATATTGGAAACACTCTACGTACAGCTGCATCCCGGCCTTGACCACAAACTAGAAGCATACAAACAGAGACCGATTCCCGTTACGCAATCTATGCAAAGTTACAGCCCCTACGAAATACTCTTATAAGAATCTTATAAGAATCTTATAAGAATCTTATAAGAATCTTATAAGAATGTTGGGAGAATCTTATAAGAATCTAAGAACCTTCTTATAAGAATCTTATAAGAATCTTATAAGAATCTTATAAGATTCTTATAAGTATTTTATATGCAAATTAGTAAGATCTTATAAGATTCTTATAAGATTCTTATAAGATTCTTATAAGAATCCCAGTGCGGCCTACAAAATACTCTTATAAGATTCTTATAAGAATCTTGCGAGACTCTTATAACAATCTTATAAGAATAGTCACAGAATCTTATAAAAAATCTAAACAAAATTTTCAAAATCTTACAAGATTTTTAAACATCTTATAAAATTTTAAAAGTATATTGTTAAACTTTTCTTAGAAACCTACATCATAAATAGACATGCTCGTTAATAAACATCTATGAAAACCCATGACTAACAAAAGGATCTTGTGTTTGCTGATGAAATAAATATTTAAATAAATGACACCTCAACAATTAATTGATGCCAGGACAATAAAAGTAGGTTAAAATAGTTAATTTAATACTTACAGTTTGTTTCAGGACAAATATAATTAACAGCTTGCAGAAGAAAAGTTGGAATACAATAATTCTTTTCGTTTAGTTTTACCACGTGTTAAGTAAAGTGATCAGAACCAGTCATCTGATGTATAAAATATTCCAAAAAAAGTTACTTAACATCTTCCAAAAGGCTGAATCTTGTATATATGTCAGTTCGTTTCTGCATTCAGTATGGGATGTTGAACAATAGAGGACAAGAGGGTCCCCTATTTACAATCGTGTACAAAACATGTGGGAGCTATGTAGTTCTCCCTGAAAAGTCAAGAGTACAAAAGAAAGTGGTCCCCGATTGCAGGCAAATACACACTTGCAATGTATGTACATGTAGATTTTTGTTGACAATTAAATATCAAATTCTTCATCATCATTATCATCTAGTGGTCGCAACTGAGATCTCATTCACAACACATTGCTAGGTGTCTTTATCCCTCATTATGTGCGAAAGGTCTTCACTTTCTCTGCCAATTTCATCAATGTCGTTGAAGGGTCTTCAACCTGGTTTACAGCACGGTAGCTGAGTGGCCAGCAAAGCGAACTCGTTGTTGAGCAACAATAACAGAGATAGGTGGAATGTCTCCGTAAATCTGTTTAGTCCTGCGCTCACGCCATGAGATGTTCTGCACCCTCATAAGAAGCCTGGTGTATGTGCCATCAAGGCGATCTTGAAGCTCCTTCTTCATGGTCCAGGTTTCACTAGCTCCATAGAGAAGAATGCTCTACACAGGCTCTGAAGAAGGCAAGCTTTGTTGATTGTGCTATACTTGGTCGTCAGATGTTATGAAGCTTGTACGTTACATGCACTCCAAACTATTCCTTTGCGAGTGAAGTCCTTACTGTCGGCAACATAGGCCCCAAGGTACCTGCAATGAAATCACAGTTAGGTGCCGTCACTGGTGTATATTGGGTAGTGGCTCTCATCCTCATCGATGGTCATGTACTCGGTCTTCTTTGCATTAAGAAACAGGCAGACCTTGGCTGCAGCATTCTCGAGAGACGTTAACAGGTCTTGAGCATCACAGTTGATCAGCCGTGAGGGCCAGATCGTCCGCGTAGTCAAGATCAGTGAGACGCAGGCTTTGATGACGTCTTGATTTCTTATGCTTGATGATAGACCTTTGTCGTGGATAGAATCCAGACTTAACTAGTCCACCACAATCATGTAATTGCAATTTTGCTCTGTCTGAAATGGAAAACAGAATACTTAAAATTAATTAATATATACAAATGTAATGTAAAAACAAGGTTTGATTTTTTTTTAGAGTATTAGGTTTTGACCAGAAGTTAATTAATACACTGAGCGTAAAGCGTCATTAAGTTGTACTATTTTTTCAATTCCCTTTTCATGCTTAAAGTTAATTTGTCATTTGAAAGACACCTGATTCATGTAAATGCAGTCAGAGCAGTACAGTTATATTAACACATAATGAATTAAATAGTGTCTTAGTTCTTATTCCTCCATGGTTGTACACATACATGCCCATGTAGATGTACATGAAGACTTACCAGTTGCAGTGCACAACATCATGCAAACAGCTTAGTGTTGACTCACAATTCTTGCCAGCAATCTTTCCAGAGACTTCCATCCAGATATTGGTCCAGCACACATGTATTTTGGATGTCATGTACAGGTTAAGTGTGTACAGGAACACAAAATCATGTCCAAAGGCCATGTCAGGGAATATATCCACAATTTTGACCCAGTTTTATACAGTTTTTGTCCTCAGTTGCAAGCCAGTATATGTGTACTTCAACACTGCTGCACTTAATACTGACTGCAAATTTCAAATTTCCCACACTGACTGTTTATCTCTGGAATGCAAGGTCACTGTGTCATGTGACCTACTTGTGGCCCATGAGCAGCCAGCTTATGTAACATAATAATTCCTGACAAAGTTTCTTATAGAGACCCCCTACCAAGTTCTTACTCAAAGGGTTTCTTATAAGAATTCTTTAACATTCTGACTCAAACTTTGGTCTCTTATAAGAATTCCTCAGCAACAATAAGAAGTTATCAGAAGAAATTCTGACTTGAAAATATGTTATAAGAATCTTACCATATTCTTACTCACTTGTAAGAATCTTATAAGATTCTTACTCATTTACAAGAATCTTATAAGATTCTTATAAGAATCTTATAAGATCTTATAAGTTGAAATCGTACGGGATTAGGGCACGATGTCAGAGTCATCTTGGACAATATCAGCAACCGGTCTGGCACCTTACCTCCCCCTAGAATGCTGAATAGGTAAGTGACTGACTGCTCCACTCCAAACAAACTCCAAGCATTTACTCAAGTCGTGGTTTGTATTCCCAACAAATCCTGTTGTGGAAGTCATTCCAGAGTCTGTCTGGACAAATGTGGACAGTTCTGCACCAGTCATTGCTGATGTGAGTGAAGTACCGGTACTAGACTGTTTGCCAGTTAAGAGTTACAGAAGCATTGTTCTTGGAGGAACAATTGATGGCATCCACGATGGACATAAAATCCTGCTGAGTGAGTCGGCTATTAGAGCAGAAGAGAAGATTACAGTTGGTGTGACAGACATATCCATGCTGCAACGTAAGAACGCATCAAATCAAGTATTCATGTAACACAACCCTTATTACATTCTTTCTCCTCACTAATAGCTGAGAGTGGTCATACATGTATGGTGTTCAGTATGTTTGTGAGTGCAGTAGTAAGAATAATTTCCTGAGGTGACAGATGGAGTGTTAATTCCATTCAAAGAGACGAAACCAGGTAGAATGGAACATTCCATCTGTCACTGAATGAAATTAGTTCCATTGCATGAATGTGAATCATTCATTACTGTATTTGTTTTGCCACCAATGTTTGCTACCACCAACTGTCTCAAAAGTCTCCCATTGTGATAATGGTCCATAGGTTCCATACATCCCTGGGTACCAGTTGCACCCCTTGGCGTACAAAACGCCAATGACATCACAGCTGACAACAATTGTATACTCCAAAAAATTCAAACCAGTTTCAGTATTGGATGTTTGTGCCTTTAAAAATCGCAGGTCATATTAATTACTTGAGCAATATTAAATGACGGTTGTTTTGCAAAGAAAACACTACCGGAGTTGATCCAGCCAATGGATGCTCGCATCGCATCTGTCCGTGACTTCATCCACTATATCAAACCACGCATCTTACAGTCAGACTCCATCGTGCCCATCACGGATCCTTACGGCCCCAGCGTGGTGGATCCAGACATGAGGTGCATTGTGGTCAGTGAGGAGACCAAGAAAGGTGGAGATGCTGTCAATAGGGTCAGACAGGAAAAGGTATGTGCCAGCTTGTATGCTTAGTTAGGTGAAGCAATAATATTTGTTTCATTGCTGGTTCCATAGGGCCTATCCAGTGTCTTCTTTGCACATCGAACTGAATGACTCACTACTGTCAGTTAGTTTGGGAAGAATTCTAGTTAAAGGTAGAGTATAGCATTTGCAGCTATCCAAAAAGTAACTGACGAAATTATTGTTGAAAAGCGTACTTGATTTAAAGATAGTAATGGCATTATGTGAAATTATTCATTCTGGCATGCTGTCTTTTTGAAGAAAACAATAAAAGAAGGGTCATTCCGACAGATGCATAAAGATGCATTTTTGGAAATTTCTGTCAGTAGTTTGTTTTTAATTCCTCGAAGCCCTGAATGGGTGCACGCAGGCGTTGACAAGACGCACACGGCACACGGTTGCTATTATGCATCGGTTCAGTGCGTGACATCATGTAGCGCGCAGATTGTTTTGATATCTTTCTTAACACGCAATTAGCCTTGTCTAATGTGTTTAATGTGTTTGAAATCTACAAATTAAGATAACGTTTTTAAAACTTTTGCAGATTGTTATCCAGCCTTCCATACCTACTGAAAATAATAAACAAGTCTTCAAAAATTGGTTACTTTGATTGGTCAAGCGATGTTGCTGCATATGCATAGAGATGGTGTTCAATATGCATTGATGAATACAGGCCCGTGCACGCAAGGGGGGGGGGGGTGCAGATGGCAGATTGATCAAGTCGGAATTGTTAACTTTTGCACCACATGTATGCACATGCTCTGCAGTACATGCACACACATGTACTAGCACGGGTGTTGTACAGTGAAGTGTGCATTGTCGTGCTTCTTGAAAGATGTAAAACTAAGTGATTTTTGTGAATTTTTTTTAAGATACCAACTTAAAGCAATTCCAACTTGAGTCGATTCTAGCCTCAGGTCGACCTAATATTTGCTTGCACCACGATGGAACTAGCCTTGGTCAAGGCGTTTGTTGATGTCTGTGATAGTATCTGGCATGCGCTGCGCATGCATTATGAACTGTATGAAGCACTATTGACGAATGCCTTGACCAAGGCTAGCTCCATCATTTCAAGTAAAAGGTCAGCTAGTCAAGAAGCGGCCTTAGTTTAGCCGTTGCCTTGTTTTGTTTCTGCCCTTACACTATACGTTTTGATTTTTACACGTTGGACTGAATCAGTTCAATGAAAATGCCTTTATTGTAGGTTACTCTCAAATATTTAGTTATACAGGTGCCCCCCCCCAAAAAAAAAACTCATCCACAAACAAAGGGATGATATGAACAAGCATTGAACTAGTGACCATTTTAATGTAATGAATATGCGCTTGGCAGGTTTGAAACAAGTACGTTTAAAACCAGCTGTGGTCTGGTTGCCAATAATGACCCGGCCGAAGGCGAGGGCCATTATCTGCTTCCAGGCATGCCATGCCCCTAGCCGGTTTGAAACATACAGCCAAGCACATAGAAATTCCCACTCATAAAATACCTTTTGGTCAAAAAGTCAAAACAAGTCAAAATTTCACAAATTTCCAACGACTTTGTTCAGCAACTCAAATTCAAGTTTGGTGAAACACCCCTCTGGCCATGTCTTAAAAGTGTCTCGTGCCCGCAGTGCTAAGAATCTCCTATGGAAATTGCCGTGCTCGGCACGTACTGCACGATGTAGTGCAGAACACAGGAAGGAGTTTAAAACCAGTCAGTGTTTTATCAGTGGCTTAAAACCACCCACATTATGGGCTCTTGACCAATAAGAATGGCTAAACTGTCTCAGGTATTTATGAATTATCATGAACTAGGAGCAGTAAGCTCTCCATTGATATCTTGGAGGCATTCCTCTGGTCATGCGTCACTAAGTTTTGTTTTGGAAATGATTTTTGTCGAGCAAAACAATGATAAATGTAAAGTAGACCCTTGGGATGAGTTTTGGTGAGACAGGGCTAGGATGCTTGGTCCTACCATCCAGACGGGAGGACCAAGCTAGGGCACACGCTCAGGCCGGGCCTGGGAGCTCATCAGAGGCAGATCAAACACGTCGTCTTTTTATAGCAACTTCCAGGGTAGCCTTGTAAAATGGCTCAGTTTGTCTGATGACACTTTGCAGCACATGGCCGTGGATGTGGTCAACGTGTACGCTCGTTGGTAAATGCGTGCCCTCTAACATCCATGTATGAGTAGCAGTGCCCAACCCAAGTTAGGCCTGCCCATTGGGACAGTCTCAACACAAGCTGGGTCCGACAACCAAGTTGTGGTATAGCACATGTATGAGGATTCTTGAAATCATTTTGGGGTCTAATCTCTTGTTTCCAAATCGACAAAAGTGTGAAAAGTGAGGAACAATATTATCTTTCTTGTTTGATAAGCTGTACGATAATACACAATGGAAACATTCCCATATCTTTTGTTCATTTCTACCAGAATCTTGCATCTAATTGTCCTGTGGATTTGTTGTTTTTATCATTCCAGCATGTGATGTACCTGGAGGTCCTGTTGGAGGTCAAACAAAGGTCATCCTTTGAAATGAACACTTGCAATTCAACGCTACATGGTGAGTACCATCAATACTTGAGAAATTCAAGGCATTATTTGAAGTAATGAATTTGAAGTACAATGTGTGAGTGAAATTGATTGAATTGTTCTGAACAAGTTGACTCCCAGGGTTGTATGGTATCGGAATTTTTGATTTATTGATACATACCGGTATATTTTCAATATCAATTATGTTCAATATATCGAATATTTGCAAAATACGTTGCAATTTCTTACCATGCAATTGCGGATCAGGTGCTTCTGAAAAAAAAATTCCTTTATGAAGTATGTTTTAAGTGGACAATTGGACATAGATGTCCATTTTGTTTCAACGAACATGCTTCTCAGCAGCTTCCCCACCACAAAAAAGATTGGTTTGTTTACTTCAAAAGAAAGGTTTGTTTACTTGAAACTCAGTTTTCTGACGAGACTTGCAAGCTTTCCTTTGCCTAGGTGAAAGCATGCACCGTACCAGTACATGTAGGATGTATGGTTCCTGCCACTGTAAAGATAATAGCCAATGCTGGAAGAAGTAGGAGCAGTTTACAGCACTGAACATAAAGTCAAATCTTTACATCATGAAAAGGTCACGAAATCATCTTTAGAAAACAGGTTTCTGTGTGATCATTCACAAAGCTTGATCTCACTTTTCTTGGTTTGTCTTTTCTGACTATGTCTGTATACATGTAAGTTACAAATCCTGGCCTGCCTGCACTCATTTGAAACAGCAAGTGATCTGAAAAGAGGACTCCCTAGTCATCAATATTACGAAAAGTGATGACACGTATATTTTACGTACACCAAATTACTTAACACACGTGGCTCAGCGAGAGACGTAATGTCACACATGCACACATTTTGCGATGCACTGCACGTGATCTCTTCACAAGCTGCATATGCTCAACTCAACTCAGCTGAACTCAGTAAATGTCGCTTTGGACCACATTCTTGCACTAGAGGTGTCAGTCATTGTTTACATTTGCTTACTTTTCGTACAATGGAAATTACAATTATTAGGAAAAAAACTTTTTTTTTCTTTTATACTATATTTTTGAAAAAGTTGAACAAAGAAATTAACTTGAGCAGGGTTTAAACCTGCAACATCCGGATAACCATTCCTGGGTCTGTTTCATGACTTTGGATGTGATCCCTGGCTACGACCGGTTTATGGCTTCTGACTAGCGTCCCTTGAACAAAGATGTTGACAAATTGGGGCACCGCCAACATAGGGCTGGATAGCTCAGTTGGTAGAGCACCGGAATAATTATTCGGAGGTCGTGGGTTCAAGCCACACTCAAGTCAGTTTCTTTGTCCAACTTTTCAAAAATTGTTATAATTCCCCTAGTCAGTTTATCTTTGTATCTTTGTTTTTCAAAAAACGATTTTTAAATAGTTGAATGGAATTTACATATTTGCTTAAACTATGCTCTTGAGCCATGCCAATTAGTCAATTAGCCGCCCTCCTCAAAGGTCCCCCCCCCCGAAAAAAACCCTGAACTGTCCACACAACCAAAATGGTAATGACTTCAGACATGTCAGATGTTGATAAAGTTCCAATAACCATACCGGTATGTTTCAATTAACATGTACCGGTACGTAGTTTAAAGGGGAATGTACATCATTGGCTTTTGCTGTAATTTTCAGAAATGAACTAATTGAGGAGTTAGTATAATGGATCAAATATTGTTACACTGACATATTTGAAGTTTTTTGTTCGAAAATGCTGGGGGGGGGGGGGGAAACCCCAAAAAAACGTTAAAGTAGTCTGGTTCCCTGACTCCACTAAAGATGAAATGGATCAATTTATAGATGCTGGAAAATTGTAAGGTAAGGGAAATTGTAAGGTAAGGGAACCGGTCTAGCTGACCTGCACCCGTTCATGACCATATAACCAATAGCAAACAAAATTTGAACTGAAAAAAGTGGTAAATTTGGAGCAGTAGTTGAAAAATAGTTAGGTTTTTCCAACGGTGGTCGGCTGACCACCGTTGGAAGTCAATACAAAAATACAAATTTTCTTGAAAATGACTTCACACAAGGTGCCATAAATTTACAGGATGCTTTAAACTGTCATTTACCAACGTCCTAGTAAGGTATTTCGTACAAATTTGGTAGTTTTGTTTTTCGATGTTTGCAAATGTTGTGTATTCTCTTTAACATTGTGAAGCACTGATGATATTAGTTAGTTTAAACCTTCTTGTCATTCCAAGGGACCTCATTTGTAGTTTTATTGAGGATGAAAACAGATCCTGCTTTGTCTTTGTCAACACAAAGCTTTTTTTCAGCGGTCCATCCACGCTCGCTCATGCAGCTCGTATGTTCATGCCAATGCACTTGCGCACGACAGTCACTGGAATTAGCCGAGATTTTGGCGCATGCACACAAACTAAGTGGAAGGGACGAACATACGTGGCAGAGACACATTTTTTCAATCACTGTCGATTAACTTGAAATGATTTTAAATAAATGATATCAACGATATTGATCACTTTGACATCGAGTAATTCAGTAAATCAATGGACCCTATTGGCTGCAAAGTACATTCCGAATTCGCTATGAAATCTTCACTGGCAAGTAACAGTGTACATGTAACTAGTATTACTACAGTATTAAACTACAATCTTTAATCTTTCCTGGTCTAGACAAAAATCACCCAGATGACATTTTAGGCTTGCTATAGTGAACAACTAAACCTGTTTGCAGTCATTGAACCCTAATATCTTAGTTTATAACACCTCTCCCACAGATTCTGTGTCTTGATTGGCCGAGAGCGAGTCACATGTTACTATATATTTTTGCTATCTTTCAGTGCCGGCCAAAAGTACTGTACCCATAGCAACCAAATGACCTTACTATACCCGTAGTAACCAAAGTACTATACGCACTGTGTGCAAAAATGTATAGGAGCAATTTCAGGGTTTCTCACGTTACATTTTTGATGTACTTTTGAGTTTCCTTGGACTGTAATTACCTTACTGAAAAGGTTTAATAACTGTTATTCCCATGGTAGATAGAGTAGACCTAGACCTACCTAAGCACCAAAGATGACATCCAGAAAAGTGTGTTATGTATGATAAACAAGACACACAAAATCGGTTACTCACGTTACGAAAATGTAACGTGAGTAACCGTGGAATTGCCCATAGGGGTGTTTGTGTTGCCCGTTGCGCATTGCCCGTTGCGCATATTGTTTCCAAGCATGCACTACAGATGGGGTTCAAACATTTCGCAAAGGGTAGTTACAAAAAGTAGAAGTTAATTTTCAACTAATTTTGTATTCAAATAGAAGTTAATTTTTATTATATTCGGATTAAATTAATCAGTTATCACGTAAAATCAAGCATAATCTGTGGGAGAGGTGTTATAAAACAAAAAATGACTACTTTATCTCATGGTGAAGTAAAACTGTCCTCCCTCGGTGATCCATGGAGCCTCGGGAAAAATAGAATGCTTCATGGATCACCTCGTGAGGCTAGTTTTACTACACAACTCCAGGCAGTCAATATTTGTATATTATTCGTAAGGAGCCTTCCTAATTTCGTGAAACCTGGCACTGAGCAGGAAACCAAAAGACACAATCCATGAAAGGCCCATTGTCCTCCATCTTGGAAGCCCGTTGTCCAGACTCCAGCATGCCAAATCGCTTTAACCCTAAAAGGGCCGGGGGGGGGGAGGGAATCCGCCCCCCCCCCGACTTTTTCCGCGATAGCCTTAAAAATAATTTTTTTTCGCGACCTGAGCTGTTATGACTTTTTAGCCTCGAGCCTTACGCATCTTTTGACACCAAAAATATAAAAATCGGACCAGGGGTTGTCGCGCAGCGAAAATTTTTCCGGCGCTACCGGTATGTGCCGTGAAAACTTTTCCCATATACGTCGTGTACACAGACCAGAATTACCATTCATACATATGAATAATTAATGAGCGATAATTCCAAAACCATGAACAGTTGCTCCATGCATGTACCAAGTTTCAAAATTTTTCGTCACTCGATGGCCGAGATCTTAGGGGGGGGGGGGGCAAAATCCGCCCCCCCCCCCCCCGGCTGAGAGATGGTCAAAATAACCAGGCCCTTTTAGGGTTAAGAAATGATGATCCTACACCATCGGCTCCCCTTAATTTCTTGTTTGTTTACGATTTGCGTAGTTATTCTTATGAAGAATCGAGACGGCGCAAAGAAATTACCCATTAAAGAAAGAAAGAAACTGCTGGTGACATAAAGAATTCTATCAAAAAACCCTTGGCAAGCAAGCTTATGGGACTCGAACCCACGACCTCCTGCTATTCAACCCCTGGATTCTCCAACTTCAGGAATTAAAATCTGCATTTTAAAACTGTTGTCCGTCTTTAATTTGTGGCTGGATTTCTTGGTGAAAGCATCAGGGCTCTGTGCAGGAAGTGACAGGTTGAAGATGAACTTTAGCTAAGTTTTTTTTTTTTCAATATATTCATAACAATTTAGTTGGACTGTTGGATTGGCTATTGAAAAGGCCTGATGCTTTTATAGAATCAGGCAATACATTAGTGCCAGCTTTAGGATGTAGGCCTACTTGCAAATACTTATTCAAGCACTTTCGAATTGCATCGTATCATACACTCAACCAAAAAAGAAAGCCCCCCCCCTTCCAATACTTTTTGGTCTAGCTCAAAAACTACTGACCTCTCACTCAAATAACAACTAATCAGTAAAAAAATTCCTTAGCAATCCAGCCATACTCTTTTTTTGGCTCAAAACAGTGATAATGTGTACGACATGATGCAATTTATGACAAATGACACCAAAAACAGTTGTACTTTTGTATACGTGCAAGTTGTGGTTCACAGTCACCTTGCACCTATACAAAAATGCAACGTTTGTGCGGTAGCATTTGTCATAAATTGCATAATTGTGTACCCATTATCACTGTTTTGGGCCAAACAAAGAGTATGGCTGGATTGCTAAGGAATTTCTATACTGATTAGTTGTAATTTGAGCAAGATGTGCACAGTAGTTTTTGAGTTGGACAAAAACGTATTAGGGGGGACTTTCTTTTTTGGTTGAGTGTAGTTTCTCATAATGCCGGTATTAAAAATATGTCACTAGATATGCATTTACTGAATACGAAGCTGTTGAGGTCCATACACACGTATGTGTTGACTAAAGGCTCAAAAGTGAATTAAGTTGCATTGAGTATAGATGCTGAGTTAAAAATAGCACTTGCGTGAACACTTGAAATCAGGTCATTTGAAAAGAAAGGTCACCCATTGACCCGTCAACTTTGTAGATCTTTGCATGACAGCAGACCACACAAAACTTTCCATTGTTGACTCCAGGCTAGCTGTTGACAATAAAACATTTTGGGAAAACCCAGATGTACACAATTTGTGGAGGCCTGCTGGGACAAATGTGGTTTATGTATTTGTATCGATGTGCGGGGTTTCCAGGATAAAAAAATAGCCTTTATTTTTTATTAAGATATTTTCCAGACTTATTAGGACAAATATGGATAGTGCAATGTTTTGTTACATATTGGATGCAAACTGCTTGCATGTGACAGAATGTCAAAGCACTTGTTGTGAATCATGACCTTGCAACTTTTGTAAAGTTTGAGTCAGTGCCATATATGGAGGTTTATTGAGGGATTAATTTGCATAATATAGTTCCGTCAAGTGGTCATGGGATTGTTGGGTGCGGCAGCTGCATGTACAGGGCTGTAATGCTTGGACGTCTCTGAATCAACCTGCTACAAACTTAACTGTACCGGTAAGTTTTGCCGTAACAAAGGTTCATTTCTTTTTGTTTTTTGGTTTCTTGTTTTTGTTTCATGGATTGTATTAAATGTCAGGGGTAGCCTATTAGCCCTAATCCCCTTGAGTGATTTACTAGGAACCTTCCTCACTCTTGCAAATTCCAACACTGCTAACTCTACGCCCAAACTGTTGGACTCTGATTATGTAGGTATGCCTAACCCAAAGTAAAGCATGTAATCAGTTCACTAGTTTAGTATGGGATTGTTAGGGTTAATAAGTTTTGCAGTCGCATTTTACTGATCTCACTGAATGACAGTGAACTGTGCATTAGTCTGGTGCAGTTGCTATAAGTGACACGAGACCACTTTTTTTCGGTCACGGTCTTATTTCAGTCTCGCCCTAAAGTCTCGGTCCCGGGTGGGCTGGTCCAGTCTTGAAAGCGCTGGTGTCCGTCTTGGTCTCGGCTGCCAAACTCCCCGGTTTTACCCTTGAGACTCGTCGAGACCACAACAAAATGTCCCTATTATGTATGGTTTTATTTATGTGCAAGCTGAATAACATGCAAGTGGAGGACAGTTCCAAGCATTATAGAGTGACAGACACATATTTATTGACAAACAAATAGTACATTGAGACAACTACTGCTACTCACTTTCTAAAACACTGAAACAGGGGCGGATCTAGGAATTTTCGCGGGGGGGGGGTTCATCAGCCAAAAAATCTGAAAATGTACACAGGTTTTTTTCTCCGGACACTTGGCCTCTGTAAAATCAAAAACTGAGGGGGAGGGGGGGGGGGAGGGAGGGGCTGGTACCATATTTCAATAGGGGCACTGTTCAAATTTGATGATTATTAACACTAGATTTCAGAATGGTGTTCCGTAATTTTTAACAGGCGGACATTATACCAGTATAATTTTTTTTTGGGGTGTCACAGCAGGTGGGGGGGGGGGGGGGGGTTTCGACTTAATGCTTAGGAATTTGTATGATAATTTTTTTTTTTGAAAGAGCTGAGGGAGGTTTTGACCCCCCCTCTGGATCCGCGCCTGTGAAAAGTTTTAAGTACAAGTTTTCATTTATCATTGACAAACAGGACTTCCATTTGTGGCTGGGTGGTCCAAAGTACAATGGGCCGTGCACAATCTAAAGCAGCCTGCCAGACTGCTGTTCCTACCATGATGCAACAGGAGGCACAGGTACCCACCCCCTCAGCTGCAACAGGTGAGTACATTTAGTACCTAGCCCAGGTGGACTCCCTTTCCTCCCTACGTTACGGAGGGAGTCCATGTGAAGTGCTCAAAACCGGGCGAAACAATTTATGACCAATATTTTCAATATTTGTGACCTTGTTGGAGAAGCCAATTTTTACGTTGTTATTCTGTGTGTCCTTATCTATTGGGCCGCTGGGTTCAGGAATTCCATATGCGATGCTGACCGACCTTAATCAGGAAAATAAACTCTAAAGCAACGCTAAACTTGTACGTTGTTGTAGACTCTTTTCATCAGTTTCTCACCACCGAGTACGGTCTACAGCTCTATGGTCTAGTCGTACATGCATGACGTACGTCCGTGGCGTGCAGCGTGAACGATTGTCCTTGGCAATTCTAAGAAGCCTTTTGCATTTGGGGCCAAAAGGTCAAGGGTCAAGGTCACAGTGGCTGAAACAATGAAAAAAATGGGGGCGTGATAACTTGAGATATACTTTACATATGAACTTCAAATTTGGTTTGTGGATTGTCCTTGGCAATCCTAAGGGGCCTATCGCATTGGGGGTCGAAAGGTCAAGGTTCAAGGTCACAGTGGCTAAAACAATAGAAATCTTGTATTTATTCTGAGATCATAGGGATTAGGGATTAATTCATATAAAACCTACAGAAGACACTAATGCTGTCAATGAACGTTCCATTTGACCAAGGTACATGTAAGTTGATGTTAGAGTGGTGTTATGTCATGGAAACAGTCATGGTTGCGGGGCATTTGTGTTTGTAAACACACCTGACTTGTTTTGTTTTTTTTTCATTTTAGTTCTTGAATTTATGTGTTATTTTGCAATGTTTGAAACTCACTAAACATCATGGTCGTCGCAAGGATTTTTTCTAGAGGGGGACAAAGCACATTTTTTTCCCCAAAGTCCCTATATTTTCCAGCATTTTCCTGATTGATCATTTTTTGAGGTAGGCAGGGACATTCCCCCCAACCAATTAAATTAATAATATGATTTCGCCCCTCTTTTTAAAAATCTTTTTTCCCTGTTTTGGGGGGTTTTGTTTGTTTTTTGCTTGTCTGGTTGGGGGGGGGGGGAGTGGGGAGTGCCCCCCTTGTCCCCCCCCCCTCGCGACGCCGGGTGCATACCTATGTTCCCCAATACCGATGTTCCCCAATACCGATAATCCCCAAAATCCCTACCAATATAACCCTAACCCTAACCCTAACCCTAGCCCTAATCCTAAGGATTTCGGGGAACATCGGTAGTGGGGAACATCGGTAACATCGCCCGGCGCCCATGCGAAACATGTATATGTTCTGATTTCTGTTCTGTTCATAATTCATAAAATATTGTCTCAAGCTGAAAACTGGTGAAATCAGAGTTGTAGGCCCTACTGATTCTAAAAATAATTTTAAAAATCGTAACATGGCAATACAGATCAGGGGGTCAAATCTCCCACACTTCACTTGTCACCCCCAAGAACAGGCACAATTTTGACCAGTGCATGTATTTCAGCAATTTTCAAATTGAGAAGGTATAGGCCTATTGCATGTATGTTCATCTTTCATTCAATTGTTGTACACTTACTTGCATTTTACCCAAACTAATGAACCTTCCGGGTTGCTGGGTCAATGGTTTTTTCACTTGGTAGGCTCAGGGGTGCAAGGTGTTCCATAACATTAACAACAGAGCCGAAACTCACAATTCATGTTTAAAAACAAAACAAAAACAAAAACTAGAAAATAAATAAAACTGTTTGCGCAAGGTTAATCTGTTTTGAATAATGCCTGCCTGTCGGAGTGACCGGGAGTGTATTGTGAGTCTCTGGGTATTAGAAATGTATTGAGAGACAAAGAGCTTCCTGATTCCAAGTCGAGCTAGTGCATAACGGGTGATCATACTCCAAAGAAAACTTCAGACTGACTCAGAGTTGAAGTTCATCTATCTTCAAGATACACAGCATAACAGTTCAATAATAAAACACCTTAAAATTTAGAATTGGAAGTTGGCACTGATTTTTAATTTTATTTCGACATCAGAATCATTGATTAAATTCAATGAATTCCTCACAATAATACGAATTAAAATCGTGCATTTTAAAAAACCAATTTGGCCAGGGATTCCGTTTGGGTGGTGTACCCAATAATACAGTTTTTATGAAGACCCAAAAGAATTATTTATACCCAAAATAATAGGAACTAATTATTCAAGGATTTATTTTTAATCTGATACAATTAATTCCTCTTTAAAAAAAATACATGAAATATGCCATCCAGTGTTATATTTTGTAGATTTACATTCAATATATAAAAACTTGACATTCAGGCAAGGATATGATCATAGACCCAATTTAGGTTCTGTGTAACCGTGGAGGTAAAACAAACAGCGGTCTCACCAGGAGTTTCGGTCAGTGTAGGGAAGTTTGAAAAAGGGTGCTTTCAAATTCAAACATTGCAGGTTCGAATCAGCTAATTTCTTTTAATTAAATAAAATTATTAATACTTTAAAATAAAATTATTACCCTTTTCTGTGCTCATCAAGTTTTTGCGCAAAAATGCTGATCATATCAAAGCTCCGTTGTATACAGTCAGTCGGATCAGTCAACAGAAAAACCCGAATCACATCTACATGTATCTATGAGGGATCGTGAATCTATAATTCGAACAGTTCTGCTCAGAAAAAATATATATTTCACAGCTGCTGCAAGTGTTCTGCTTTGTCGTCTCAGACCCAAACAGCAAACTATTTATCCTAGTGAACCGGCCATCACCATCACAGACTGCGTGCCTGCGCTGCCAGCTAGCTAGCTATAGCGGTAGCTGTCAATATGACATCGTCACGTACGTCAAGCCCAAGCTAGGGCCAGCTAGTGCTATACACTGGATTAATCTGTGTTCGTCTAAAAATAAACAGAAGAAGAATATATCATGGACAAAAATACACCATCGAATTGTGATGCTCATAAAACGTAATAAAGTGTACGCCGGCCTTTCCATTGGCTGGTGTCGCACACTACTCATTCATCATGTAGGTTCACGTGAGTTCTGCGTGTACCAGCTACCTAAAAAATGAAACATATCAGCTTGTTTGCGAAATTAAAAACGGATGTACTTTTGTAGGGCTAGTGTTATTCAAGTTTTGACGTCATCTTGATTTTCGCACGTTTTATTACTTGTATGTGTGCGCCAAATCATGGACATAAGCAGTTTATAGTATGGAATATTGTCATGGCAAATAATTGAAAATAGTTCTCATTTTAAATTATCAACTTGCAAAAAGTTTGAGGTCGGCAGTTTGGCTGCAAAGTCCAGGTCGGTGGGGTTACCGTAAACAAACACATCAATGTTGTTTTTGTTTGGCCTTATATATCTTCATTAAAAGTCACAGTTTTCAAAGCACGGACGAGATGAAGAAATCCAGTACATGAATCATTTTGTCAGTATCTTTTAAAAAGATGTTTGAATTCTTCTGATTTTAGATTCCCCACAACGAACTGGAGCCATTGTCAACATACATGTAGGCACAGTCAGCGGTAGCCACTGCCCTATCATTGCTGGTTCAAGTGGTGTTAGTTTCACTCACAGCTTGCCGTCGGATGCAGCAGGTAAATATAATCTTGTTCATCACACTAACTGATATCTGAGATCAAATGTTAAATGGATTTTTCATGTGGGGTGGGGTGGGGTTGGGATTGTAGGTGATATACTACACAAACATGGACACAGAAGGCAGATGGCTGGTAATTATGCGAGTACAAAATGGCACCACCCATTATGTGTGACACATTTGAGAGAAAAAAAGTGAGGATAGCTTTATTGAAGTCAAACATTAATTTTTGCATTGATATCTTAATAAGGGAATCAAATATTTTAGGCCTACACATGCAGTTACCATTTTTTTGTCTGAATTTATTTTTGTCCGTCTAAAAGCACTATAAACCAACATCTGAAAAGTGTTTGTCATTCTTTTTTTAAAATGGGGGCAAATGTATTTACACACTGCCTTACTAACAAACTGTAAACCCCAAGCCATCATTTTTTTTTACATGTTTGCCTCCAAAGAGGAAGAATATGCAATCCATTTCAGAAACAACGTTTAACGGAAGTTATACATTTACATTCAATATTGGGTTGTGCCCTCCACCAACATATTATAAACAATGTATACTAAGTGTTTTCCTGAGTGATAATGAGAAAAAATCACTCCTGTGGGATTCGAACCCACGACCTCCTGCTTTAACATGTACATGTTGCTTGTTTTTACCTCAATAGGAGTACCTCCGCAGAGTCTGAGACCAGACCAAGATCCAACAGTGGGGGATCTCAACCAAGAAGTCGGTAACAAGACCAGGGACATTTTGAGGACATGTTACAAGACAACGGGGAGTTATGTTCAGTTGAACCCTGGGGTTCCTGACGATCAAAGACCCATTGTTGGCATTTACACTAAATTGCGGGTTAGAACAAAGAAAGGTACTTTAGAAGAAGAATACTCTGAGGAAACTGTATATTCCACAGAGTATGAGAAAATATTGAAAGATTGGCCTGAGACTGAGTTCAATCGTGCTATTTTATTTGGCATTGGGGGTGTCGGGAAGTCAACCATTTTTGACAAAATTGCATATGACTGGGCTGATGAGGTATGTGAAATCCTGAAAAGATTCAAGCTTGTCTTTCTTTTAAAGATGTGTGCCCTGTTCCAAGAATCTGATCTTGTTGATTCCATTTTCGATCAACTTTTAGGCGTAAAGTCAGGAGTTGCCAAAGATGAACTTGATCAATATATTCAGGACAACTCAAATAAGGTCTTGATACTTTTGGATGGTTTTGATGAAATGAGGACCAAAACACTTGATGCAGCCTCATTCGGCTTTATCCTAAAAGCGCTCAATAGAACAGAATACAGGAAGTGTTACATGTTTGTCTCAACCCGCCCCTCTCATCTTGAGACACTGATGTCAAAATCACTTGTCCAAAATCCTTGCACACACGTAGAGGTTCTGGGGTTTACCAAGGAAGATGTTAATGAATACATTCTGAAATTCTGTTACAAAGATCCTGATAGTGGCAATGCACTGATCCAAAAGATTGCGAAGTCCAACACATTGAGTGATTTTGCAACAAATCCGATGCTTCTCCTTCTCATGTGTTTGTTGTGGAGGGAGAAAAAACAACTCCCCGAAACAACTTCACGCCTCTTCACTGAGGCGGTTGATTACATGTTCACAAGAAAAGGATGCAGCTCCAAAGATGCATCAAAAACAGTGATTGCTATAGGAAAAACTGCACTCAGTGGATTCGTAAGTGCCGATACGAATTTCTCATTTCAAAAAGATGAGTTTGAACAAAATGAGCTGGACCTGGCATTAAAATCGGGCATCCTAACCCAGCAGAGAGTTATCAAAAACCTCAAATGCCACAACAACATACAATTCATGCACAAGACTGTTCAGGAATACTGTGCTGGGAAATACTTGCAAAGTGTACATATGTCAAACCCGGGATTTGTGAAGAGTACAGTGTACAAAGTTGAACCATTCAGTGAATTTCAAAACATTTTAAAGCAACTTTGTCAGACTATTGAGGGTGTTGTTTCAAACAATTTGCTTTTACGTTTTTGTTGTGGTGACAATGAAAAGTGTATGACTGACATCGTAAAATTGCTTGTTGGTAAGTTCAAGGAGCAAGATAAGCCCGGGTACATGTACCGAAAAGCTGTTACACTAGCGATTAGTAGACAATGTTTTTTTGAAAGCCAATGCCAAAAGGTCCCAGTGTGTCTCACCAGCAACTCACTCATCCCATCAGATATCGAGGTGGATAACAATAATGATTTCTGCATTCTCATATACCTTCTTGAAATCATCTGTAGGTCAGAAGTCCAGGTGTCACAACTGGCATGCATTGAAACCATGAAGGTCTCTAATGTGTCTTCAGTCAGTAGTTTAGCCTTTGCCATGGGTTACATGGAAAACCTCTGGTGTCTGAGGCTCTACTGGTGTCCTTTACTGAAGGGTGAGCTTGAGAAAATCCTGTCATCACTGAAATGCAACTATCTCTTGACCAGTCTTGACATAAATGATTGCAAAATGTTGGGAGGTAGAGCTGTAAAATTGGCCCCTCATATCAAACACTTGACAAGCCTTGAGATACTTGAATTAAGGTGGTGCAAACTTCAAAGCACAGACATTGAACACATTGCCTTGGCTGTACATGACATGCCCAAACTGACTGACTTGAACCTTCGTGGCAACAAGACATTGGGCGAATCCAATGACTTGTGGGCCAAGGAATTGCCCAAAATGAAGCAATTAAATAAGCTGAACCTGGGCAATTGCCATTTGACACAGTCAGACATTCCACACATTGCCTCGGCTGTAGGTAACATGCCCAGACTGACTGACTTGAATCTTCGTTTCAACACGTCATTGGGTAAACGTGCTGCAATGTGGGCTAAGGAATTGCCCAATATGAAGCAATTAAATAAGCTGGACCTGAGCTTTTGCGCTTTGGCACGGTCAGACATTCCACACATTGCCTCGGCTGTAGGTAACATGCCCAGACTGACTGACTTGAATCTTGGTTACAACCGGGCATTGCATGGATGGGATGAGTTACGGTCCCTCTTCCCATCACTTGGGGTTACATTTTAATTCTCCCTTGCCAAGCCCACTCTAGAATTACATGTACTAGGCATAAACATATCAAAATGATAACTTCCCTATAAAAGGAAATGAAATTTACAAGAATATCTGTAAGCCACATGGACCACATTGGGGTCAACACACCTTGGGTCAGACAAATGAACAAACCACTACTTAGTCTATAAATTGTACTGAACTAGAAAATCTTTAATTTGAAAACTTGGACGGAACTCTAGATCAAAAATCTATAACACCAGCGCTGATGATGATAATCAAGAAAAACTTTAAGTAGGCCTACATGTAAATGTTTAGGTCAACAATGACACTTTATGAATAAACAACCATTTATCTTTCTGACAAAAAAACAAAAATACCGGTATACAGACAATATTAGGGCCCTAAATATATTCAAACAAGGATATTTGAGACTCTTGATGTCACTCTAAGGCAATCAAGTCCCAATCCAAAAATGTTGATTGACTAGTCAGTTCAGTTCTCTTCACTTCGTGGAGTTCCGGTGAAACCACAGAAGTTCAACGTCACTGTACATGTATACGCTACACAGTAAACGGTTCCTTCACAAGATCCCTCCTGCTTGGAGATAGACTGTTGTGAGGGATGCTCCTACGGTAGTTCACCCAATGCAGACAGCATACATGTAATTCCTGTCCTTGTGAAGATGTAACATGTGTAAACTCACATGTGGCCAGTCCAGTCACCAACGGCTTGATCCACTCAAGATGTGGAGCAGAGTTCCAGACTGTGACTGTCCAGGCAGCAAAAATACGGATCAAGTTAATCCCCAAAAATATCAGGGTACACCTGAGAGCCACAAGCTGTAGGATTTCAATCAATGTCAAACTAACAGTTGACTTTTAGCAAGAATCTTGGCATTTCACTGCGGGAATTTCGCCAAAACATGTGCGAACATGGCGCCTTCCATGGTTACAGTACACGCGCGTCTCATAACCGCTTGAGGGCGCACTTCAGCGTACCGCACGGGCTACACATCCCTCCTCCTAAACGTGTTGCAGCGTCCCGATGCAACTCTTCCTTGCAGTGAGGAACGTAGGAATAATAAATTCTGGGATCCAGTGACTCCAAACACCTGCCTGCAACTGATGAGTCACTGGCTGGCCAAGCACTTCGTAAGTGAACCGCCTTGGGGGTCTCCGCTCTCTTGAGGGTCGCGATCCATTCACCTCACTCTCACTGCTGTGTCCTGTAGTAGCAGTTTCCCTAGAGAGATCCCCAGCAGGGATATACATCCCTGGTACAGGAACCTCTGCTTCAGGCAAACTACTTGCATCTGGAGAGCCACAGGTGCCAACTTCAACTTCGGCACCGATGTCTACCTCGCTACCGAACTGGGGTGTCAGTTCGTCAGCTTCGGGAAGACTATCGAGTATAGGGCTGGGACACTCACTCTGGGTCGCACTTTTGTCTGTGGATAGTGGCAAGTTGCTTTCTTCAGCCATCATACTAGGTTCTGCCTCCAAGTGGCAGTTATCTGGATTACCAAACTCATCTGGTATTTTGCTAGCCCAGGTTACTGGTTTAGGTTGCAGCTTTGTCTCACTCAGGTCATCGGGAGGGAGCTCTGCACCACTTTCTCGTGATGATGTCCTATCAGGTCCAAGATCAACGGACATGTCCTTTAAACCAGATGGACTGGGAACAAATGCCTCAGTATCAGGATCTAACTGGTTTGGACAAGGAGGTATGTCTCTCTGTCCCGTGTCATGTACGGTGAGAATCCCACTGTCCTGCTCATCCGGATGTTCCTCTGTAGTTCTTTCCACCTCGTAATCACCCACAGGCAGTGGTGATACCGAAACGTCAACTTGGTCACGGGGCCAGATAGTAATGATATTGTGATCCTCATGGTCAGAGCCATAATCATCACTGTCGCTACCGTCATCTGGGGACGACGGAAGGCCTGAGGAAGATTTCTGCTTCGCTCGCTGTCTTGTCATTGGCTTCTCTGGGGGTTTCGTAACCGATGGAGAAGTGTCCTCTCCAGTTAGAGTTCCGATGGGTAGCAACATATTGCGATGCAGTGTTTTTACTGCACCATCCCCTGTCTCTGGCTTCACTCTGTAAACTGGTATACTGTCACTCGGGCGACCCACAACACAGTACACAGTGTCTTCCCACCTATCAGCTAGCTTGTGAGGACCCTTGAAACCGACATTGCGAACAAGTACTCTGTCGCCAGGCTGTAACTCACTGCCCCTCACTTTTAGGTCATAGCGTTGTTTGTTCGCTGCTGCCACTTTGGCCGACTCTTTTGCCGCCAAGTTGTAGGCATCTTCCAAGCTGTGCCTGAGCTCAGATACATATTTGGTGTGGTCCTTATTGTTGACACTGTCGGGCGTAGTCCCAAAACTAATATCAAGAGGCAGCCTTGCCTCTCGCCCGAACATGATATAATAAGGCGAGTATCCAGTACTGGAATTCCGAGTTGAGTTGTACGCATGCACCAAGGGAGTAACAAACTTACCCCAGGTTTCCTTCTTATTTTGGGGAAGGGTGCCAAGCATGCTTATCAAAGTACGGTTGAACCGTTCTGGCTGTGGATCCCCTTGTGGGTGGTATGGGGAAGTTCGTGATTTCTTTATCCCCAAGAGACTTGTTAGCTCTTTGATGAGGTTATTGTCAAATTCTCGGCCTTGATCTGAGTGTATACGCCTTGGCAGACCATAGTGGAGGAAGTATCGCTCCCAAAGTATCTTAGCAACAGTGCGTGATGATTTGTCTTTCGTGGGAAAGGCTTGTGCATAACGGGAGAAATGGTCAGTAGCAACAAGAATGTACTGGTGGCCACTGCGGTCTGGTTCCAACTTTAAGAAATCGATGCAGACTAAATCCAGGGGATATGTCGTCTTGATATTTACCAGGGGAGCAGCCACTTTTTGGTTTGTCTTGAAAGACACACATCGTTCACAGTTGGAAACCCACTTCTCAATGCGAGCCGCCATCTTCGGCCAATAGAACCGTTGACGTGCCAAGGCCACAACTCGTTCAGCACCCAAATGACCCAAGTCATTATGGAGTCCGATGATAGCCTTCTCTCTGAAATGGACAGGTAGCACCAACTGCAACAACTCTTTCCCCTTTACATCAAGAACTCGACGATACAATACTCGCTCTCGTAGGACAAGTCGAGAAAACTGGCCCAACATCAGCCGAACTTCCTCAGGCAAGGTTGAGATCTGCTTAGGCTTCTTGCCCGCCAGAACAAATTCTACAACCTGCTTGATGTGTTCATCCACAGCCTGTTCGTTTTCCCAATTTACAGCATCTCCTTCAACAGTCGTCGCCTTACCAAAACCTGCATATTCGGCAGGGATAGCCTCGGCACTCAAGGCCATCGAGTGGATGAGGGGGCCTGGTTCCACATTAGTAGTACCCGGAACATTTCGTCCCGAGGCATCCAAAAGATGCTGGGAGGAAATAGCATCAACCATCTCCTCACTGAGAGTTGGTGTAGGCTCCTCTACCTCACCCTGAAGTCGTGCCTCCAGGATATGCATCTTTTCTACCTGATCCCTCTCTGAAGACTGCAAGAATGCATCACTGTGTGGTCGTCGAGAAAGAGCGTCCGCATCTTTGTTACAACGACCGGGCTTGTAGTGGATTGTAAAGTCGTAGGTTGTTAGAGCTGCCAACCACCGATGCCCTGTGGCGTCCAACTTGGCAGACGAAAGGATATATGTTAGTGGGTTATTGTCAGTGAATACCCGGGTTCCTTTGGCTGCATACAAGTAATCCTTGAACTTGTCTACGATGGCCCACTTAAGAGCCAAAAACTCAAGTTTGTGTGCTGGGTAATTTTTCTCCGACGGATTCAGACCACAGCTGGCGTAAGCAACTGGTCTCAGCTTACCATCAGACTCCTGGCAAAGAATGGCACCAAGACCATCCCTACTTGCGTCCACATGCAGTACAAAGGGCCGACTCATATCCGCAAAGGCCAAAACTGGTGCTGAACATAGCTTTTCCTTTAACTCCTGAAATGCCTGCTGGCACTCGGGTGTCCATCTTTCTGCGAATACCACTTTCAAACCCCTGCTCGTATCCTTACTACAGGTCTGACGCTTGGGACAGCTCTTACTTTGCAGCGTGGCGGCCAACTCATGTAAGGGTTTGGCAATCTTGGCATATCCATCAATAAATCGGCGATAATATCCAGCCATTCCAAGAAAAGACCGCAATTGTCTTGCCTCAGCCGGGGGTGGCCATGACTTGATCGCCTCCACCTTCTGTTGGTCTGTTCTTACACCTTCTTCTGAAACTACATGTCCAAGATATTTGACAGATGTACAACACAGCTGACACTTTTCAGGAGCAATCTTTAGCCCATATTTGGCCAACCGATCAAACACTCTGGCCAAACGCTTCTCCATCTCCTCTAAAGTGGGAGCAAAGATGATGATGTCATCCATGTTCACAAGTACCTCTGCCAAGTTCAGGCCTGCCATACATCTTTCCATGAGTCTTTGGAAAGTGGCCGGCGCCCCTTTGACACCCTGAGGCATCCGCTCAAACTGGAAAAATCCGGCCGGGCAGATGAAAGCTGTCTTGTCCTTGTCGGTAGGTTTCATCGGTATTTGGTAGTACCCCGACTTGAGGTCGATCACAGAAAACCACCTGCACCCATGTAAACAGTCCAGAGCCTCCTGTACGATGGGAACCACGTACTGATCAGGTACAGTTCTGGAGTTCAGAGTACCATAGTCCACACACAGACGCATCTGTCCGCTCTTCTTTCGTACGATGACTATGGGTGAGGCATATCGGCTTTTGGACTCTGTGATCACCCCGATGTCTAGTAGATGCTGAAGATGGTCTCGCAAGTCCCGCAAATCAGATGGAGCTACACGACGCGACCTTTCCCGGAAAGGAGACTCATCAGTGAGCCTGATGTCATGATGGATTTCGTTTGTCAAACCAACATCCCACTCATGGCTGGAGAAGATTTCTGATCGACCATAGGCCAATTTGAGAATTCTGTCTCTCCATTGAGTGTCTATGGGACCCCAAACAAATGGTAGTTTCCTAAACTCCTTTTCTGTAATCTGAGAAGACTCTCGTCTCTGGGTTGGGTTCATGCCAGTGGTGGCACTAGTCGTCCTCATCTGGGCTGGTGCCGCTGCTGAGGAGATGGACCTTCCACACAAATCAGGCTGCACACTACTTACTGACACTGGCAGGGATGCTTCAGCCAAAACACAGTTCCTTTGCAAATGCAGGTCCACATCAGTCTGATTCTGCACGCAGACCTTCACCTTTTGGAAACCATTCCCAATCTGTGCTAAAGAGCAAACAGTGTTGATACCGGTAGGCATTTTACGCAGGTGAGGAGCATCTAGCAACACAGTCACTGGCCTCCCCAATCCATTTCGAACAGTGCCCGAGATGTACTTCTGAGAGTTGGCAGGGACTGTCACCTGATTTCGAGTACGGCATGTTACCAATCCAACCTTTCCCGCTGGTCCTGCCCTCCGTGAAACTTCAAAATCCTCATAGATTCGCCTACATGCCGCACTGATGACAGAGCCACCGCACTCTTTCCCTTTCTGCAGGTCAAAAAGATGTTGGTAGCAACCACGGAAAGCTCCAGAATTTGTACCCACAACTAGTTGGTACTGTGTTGCACCACGGCAGTCAGGGACAACTAAAGCCAGGGTGGAGGATGACCGACTTGTGCCACAGAATGCTGGATCAAAACCAATAGTCACCTTGGTCCAACCTAAATACGGTATCTGTCCCCCTCCACCATGCCAAAGCACTAGATCTTCAATCGGAAACAAGGGCTTATTCAGGCGTCGAAAGAAACCTTCGTATATTAAGGTGACTTGCGACCCCGAATCCAACAAACACTTGGCCCAGTTCCCATCAATGCAGCAATCCTCTACCATGTCTCCTCCAACTAGTCCCTTAGGTATGTCAGTTCCAGTGTGGTAATTAACACCAGGCCTTAATTCACGGGCTTGGGCTTCTGGCTGGCCCCCTCCAGTCGCCCCTTGGCGTTTCCCTGCAGGAAAGCAATAAGTTGGCTATTTACCTTCTGCAAGTTCTCAGGTTTCTCGCATTTTGTCTTGTAGTGGCCCTCTTCACCACACCGGTAGCAGAATCTTGGGCGTGCTTCATTTTGCTTACGTTTGATTGGTCTCTCAGCAACTTGCGTCCGACTCTTGGCCTGTTTAGGGTCTGCCGGGAACACACCCACATCTCCTTCTCCTCTTCGGCTCATCTTAGCCTGTTGTTCTGCTTCCTCTCTCCTTACCATCTGCAGCAACGTCAGGTAATTCAGGTATTCATCAGCTGTCGCCTGAGGGCACTCTCGGCGGAGGTCGGTGATGATACTGGCAGCAGGGGGACGGAGAGCCTCCCTCAAGCGTCGCCTCTTCTCACAATCTTCGGGTTCCTCCTCAAGTTGCCCCTGCACAAGTTCAATCCAGGTATCGAAACTGTCCTCGTCCTTGGCTGGAGTCTTAAGACCAGAGAAAGGACGCAGTTTCCGTCCGCCAACAGTGCACAAAGACATGGCATGGCTCAAGGAACTCCTGGACGTCTCTCTTGTCGGGGGTTCGGATGTACCCTGATTCTCCATAATATCCTTAACCAAGACTCGACTCTTGAAGTTTGTAGTGGTGTTCAAACGGTATATTCGCAGAA